GCCTTCCCTCTAGTCTTACACTGCTAAATTAAGGACGGCTAACGCATATAGCCCTCGTGTAGCTTTGCGCGAAATTCAAAAAACAAACAAACAAATTTTTAAATTAATATGTCTTATATTTTGGAGATGGAACTTTGGTTAAAATAAATGTTATTTTTTATATCTTCGTCTATATCAGTTTACAAAAAAAAGAAGTTGCGTAGGGTGAACATGAAATTATATCATAGTGATTTTAAGCAAAACTAAAATTACACATCTCGCAAATTAAAACATAAAATTTCGGTATAATTTACAACCTAGTTACGATGTTAAATTCTAAGCTTGTATTATGCATTTGTTTTTATGCTTAAAGTATGTTAGATACATTACTTTGTGTTATGCTTGCATATAAAGGATGGATGTCAGTAAAGGCCTAAAATGATCCAAAATGGATCTGGTCACAAATGTGCAAAAATATAGTAATAGGTGTGATAGATGGGTATTGACATGTTTTGTCTTTATACGTCTGAATTCCAAGATGGCGGCAGTAACGTGTACGGACCTTTATGTAATTAGAGCATATATGTGCTATGTTAATTACTTCTGAAATAATTACACCAAAATTGTATATTTATTAACAAATCCGATAATACATACCAGCTCATATTTCACCATATTTCATTATGACGGCTCACAGGCAAAATCTTAGTTTATGATGCCTGTTATTACATGATTCAATTTAAAACTAATTCTTTTTTCATGATGCCTGTTATTACATGATTCAATTTAAAACTAATTCTTTTTTAATGATGCCTGTTATTACATGATTCAATTCGAAACTAATTCTTGTTTCATAATGCCTGTTATTACATGATTCAATTTTAAACTAATTCTTGTTTCATGATGCCTGTTATTACATGATTCAATTTTAAACTAATTCTTGTTTCATGATGCCTGTTATTACATGATTCAATTTTAAACTAATTCTTGTTTCATGATGCCTGTTATTACATGATTCAATTTTAAACTAATTCTTGTTTCATTTAATCTGCCCAACAGTCGAATGAAACTCTATCAATGTCATTTAACCATCTGCATCACTATCTAACAGAATTCCAGAGCTTAACAGTTGCGTTAAATCAAGTGCATGATATTCGTTGGTGTTGGAAACCTGACGATGAAAGTCTAGATACTATAAAACATGAGAACAACAGCTGTCTTTCTTTGTTTCCGAGTGACACTGGTTGATCAACTGATTCTGTGTCAGAAGAGGAATAGACCACATGCCATGACTGGATTTTCACATTACTCTATTTCTTGTGACGGAACACGATGCGACCGTTAGTGTCTAAGTGGCATTACTGAATGTAGTTTTTCAGTGTTCATGTGGTATTACTGAATGTAGTTTTTCAATATCTATGTGATATTACTGAATGAAAATTTTCAATATCTATGTGGAATAGAAAGTTGTCACTTGCCATAAGTTTGCGTATCTATGTGCACAAATTCCTTGCAAGTATCAATTTCATTCTTTCCACAAACTCTTTCTATATCAGGTTATGCCACTTTCCTGTATCTGCTTGTGATGTGGAGGGCCATCTTAGACCCATGATGGTACCCATCCTTTCAAATTACTCTTTGGTGAGATGAAGTAGAAATTGTTGTAAGGATACCTTTATAGATTTTTAAAAATTTTTTTGGAAGTTCTTAGTGGAAAAATAAGAACAAAATATCTATTGTTTGTGTTTTATTAAATAATATAAATTATCAAATAAAGGATCAAAGCCTATGCACAAAAGTCTGTGAAACATTAACCGATATACTTTATTAGCGCTCCTGGTGTCATAATGAAATATTAATATTTGCTTGGTATGTTTTGAGTTTACATTATTCGAAAAAAGTCAGGAGTTCAACCGAGCCAAACAGAAATGCACATTTTAATAATCCAGAATTTCTACTCTGTGCTACATCAGGAATTGAAGTATTTAACGTGGTTTTAGAATCAAAGTTATGAAATTTCTTGGGTAGTCAGAGCCTCGTTCAAAGATATTTGGAACGTATTATCACATTTTCTCTGTCATCAAAGCTGGCGAGTAGATAAAATCAAATCAATGTTTATAATAAAACCAATTTTTTTAAAGGTCTTTATTCAATCATGAGTCAGACAAACTTGTACCTTTCGTCATATTTCCACATTCAAGTGTCTTATTGGAACTTGGAAAGTTGAATAGTGTGAAACGTTTGAAAGACAAATGGGTTCAAATGTTACTACCAACACAACTCTGGGCTTTAGACTATAACTTGCATTATGAATTTATTTCTTTACAGGTAAACGAAAGCCAAGAACTGGATGCCTAAAAAAACAAAGCAATGTAACATTGAAAGCTTAATCATATCACAAGTTTAAAATATGTGTTAATTGATGTCAAATAACACTAGTTTAGTAATATACTTTACAGAAAATACAGTCTTTCTAAGAATAAGCTTATAAACTTACACAACAGTTTACAGAGGAGTAATGATTAAGGACGAACACGTCTTAATAATGATGACATATTCTGTGCGAAATATAAATAAATTATCATTTAGAGAACTTAACTGGAATCTTAGGTTAGATCTATCCTTGTAAGTAATCTAAGACTATAAATACCAAGCTTCGCGCCCTTTAGCTTAATACATTCTGTTTTAAACAACGTGTTTGAATTATAAACTACTAATGTGGCTGTATTCGTAACGTTAGGCAAGTTTCCGCCAATATCTTCTGACTACTGCGAAAGTTATAATTATAGGGATGATGTAGGAATGATTACATATGAAATAGAAATGAGTTATTAGCGTGTAAGACTAAATGAAAGACTAAAATGTTCGTATATTAAATAGCACTTAGAATATTTTATCCTTAGTCACTACATTTCCTTTTGTGATAAAACTATGTACATTAGAGCTACACACTTGTCCTTCAGTGGTAAGTTTATGGATTTACAAAGATAAAATCTGGGATTTTATAACACATGGTAGACACAGCAGATAGTTTAATATGGCTTTCTTCTAGAACAAACAAACAAGCTACATATTTTTACTAAAATCTGGTTTAATGTTATAGAGATTCTGATGGATAAAACCTCTGAAGCACAGGTGCATATATCGTTAACAAGCAAAACGACTTTTGTCTACGACACATAATTCTCCAAGGAAAGATTCATCTGGGAAATAGTCAGCTCACTTACAATGAAAAAAACGTTTTTTTTTCTTTTTGCTTCAACTCTCATGTTTTCTAAACAGTCTGATGTATTGCAGAAGATCGATCAGAAGTTTCAAGAGAATAAATGACAACCTTCAGATTGTGGGCGGGTGAGACAACGACTTAACCGTGTAAGCACCACGGGAATCTAATGGAACGGAAACCGTTATTTATTATTTTCTCTATATCTCTGTGGAGTAAAGAACATAAGTTTAACCCAGGTTGAATATGTTTGTGCACTGATGGAAAAAAAAACAACCTTTAAGGCGTAAGAATCATTATCAAAGGCGATTGTCAAGTTTTATTAAGACTTTCTAAGTTTATTTCGACAAATGAACGACGGATCAATGTGTGACTTAACGAAAAAGAACTCTTTGTTAAGATTAACTAAAAGCCCGTCCTTTTGTTTACTGATCGTTGGACATGACTTTACTCACTCGTTTATAGCAATAAGAAGGAAATAAGATCCTTCTAGTCAAAACATAAAACACAAGAAAAAAAAACGATAATGCACATGGGCTTAGAACGTGAAGCTTGAGGCTCTAATGGTGCGCCCATCTTTAATTAAGAATGATTAAATAACTTTGTTTAGCTGTTTAATAATGAATTAGTAAAAATGTAGGAAAGTAAAGATAAAAGATTAATATGCTTTGCGACTATCTCAGTCATCGCTCTTGCACAAGCACCTGATGTAGCATATTTCAGCAAATACGGATATGGAAGTTAATGTCTAAATATATCATATTTAAATTGTTAAAATCCTTTCAGTTGGGTGTACATAGTAAAGATACTTCTGAATGAAAGTCACAAAGTAGTGCCATTTCATGTGGGTTAAGATAGTTCTGAGTAAACAGTTATTGCTTTAGATAAACATATATATATTTGAACCTTTATAATAAGCCTAATTCACTTGATCTACGTTAGTTAATGGTATAAAAGACCAAACCAGTTTTTATATCATATAACTATAGTTTTTTAACTTAAAAGTTTGGAGACGGCTTAACTGGGTAATGAAAAAACATTATTATAAATGTACGACGTTTCGACAAAAATATGCCATCCTCAGGTACTCTGGTAAGTTAAACTTTTTTTTTAAGTTTTCAACATTAAAAGACAATTTTTTACAAGGTCAGAAGTCAAGTGAATACTCAGTGCACATGGACTCAAATCTTTAGTTTGGTTTTAAAATTGAGAAGAAAGACATGACATTTTTTTTGGAATTAACTTACTACGTTATGGTCATTTTTCAAGGCTTTTTCCTTAAAGTTCATTGATAATTAATATTCTTATACGTTTTTAATGGTTAACGTTACTGTTATTATTTAAAAGTTATACTTATATTCCTACAAAATTACTGGAATTATCTTTGTTGAGAAAAACAAAAATGTTCAAGAATAACAAAAAATGATAGAGTCAACGAACTAAAAAGTACGTTACGTAGTCTAATGAGCATTTTTACCTCCTTATTCAACATAGCCCACCGTTTGACTTGAAGAAGTAGACAATATAACAACGAGAAATCTTATAAGCCGGTTCAAGAAGTTAAGGAGTTCATTGAGTTGGAACAGAAAGATATTTCATTTTAATACATTTGATGGTAAATGACCTTCAGCCAGACTACATTTGATGGTAAATGACCTTCAGCCAGACTATCTCAGACTATCACTAGTTTGAGAAAATAGTTTCACTTAAGATAACTATGGCCAACTTTTCAGATAGTTTCAAATGGACACGCTATGCCGACGATTCCGATTTCCTGAACTTTTCATTCTGGGAAGTCCAGTTTTACGAATATTCAAACACAACCTCGAAACGTCCTACCTATTCGAGCGACGGTTCAACAGGAACTGTGGAGGAGAAAATTCGCCTGATTCTTCCTTATAGCTTCATTCTCCTGCTGGCAGTAGTGGGCAATGTCCTTGTTATTGTGACCCTGGCAGTCAACAAGAGAATGAGAACCATCACTAATGTCTTCTTGTTGAACCTAGCTGTTAGCGACTTACTTCTGGGAGTTTTCTGTATGCCTTTTACACTTGTTGGTGTTCTAATGCGAGAATTTGTTTTTGGAGACGCCATGTGCCGACTTATCCCGTATCTTCAAGGTAAATCATATATCTATAAATGAATTAAAAGAAGAACAAAAATAGATGTTATGATATTTTAGACATTTTATAGTTTAGTTAGTTATATATTCGTTTAATTTTACAAACAAACTAGAGGTGATGAATGAAATACTGGCTTATAGATAGGAGTTAAAGTTGTCTATGATATTTAATGTTCTATATACATAAGTAGTGCATAAAGGCTACATAGATAGGAGTTAAAGTTGTCTATGATATTTAATGTTCTATATACATAAGTAGTGCATAAAGGCTACATGGATAGGAGTTAAAGTTGTCTATGATATTTAATGTTTTATATACATAAGTAGTGCATAAAGGCTACATAGATAGGAGTTAAAGTTGTCTATGATATTTAATGTTCTATATACATAAGTAGTGCATAAAGGCTACATAGATCGGAGTTAAAGTTGTCTTATGATATTTAATGTTCTATATACATAAAGGCTACATAGATAGGAGTTAAAGTTGTCTATGATATTTAATGTTCTATATACATAAGCAGTGCATAAAGGCTACAATTAGACGATGTTTTCCGTATGTTGACGTAAGACAAGTTTTTCAAAATACTTCTTGAATATTGTTTACAGTATATATCAGATTTTAAGCAATTACTAAGATAATCTATGAAAGAGTTCTTGGAGAAAATATTAACTTATTCAAAAATAAAAACATGCATCTAAATGTTTTAGTATTTGCGTCGTCGAGGAATTAGTAAAGTTTTTCGTTTGTTGTTCGACGCTAAATTTCACAATGTGTTATTTGTACTTTGCAACACCGCGGGTATTGAAACCCGATTTTTAGCATTATAAGCACTGAGACTTACCGGTGAGACAACCGGGGAGTGAACCAGTAGAGTATGGATGTGTATAAGAGATCGTCTAACAAAAGTTACAGATAAATAAAATAGATAGCGTAAAACATATTGTATCTGAAACTGTATATATATATATATATATATATA